GGGGATTGGGAGTAAGGACCTTCTAGCGACTTGGATAAGATCGTACCTCCTAGCGACGTCATGATGACCTGCGCTGGCACGGAAGTGAAGATGTATCCCGGTGACAGCCTCCCCAAATCACCTTCAGGTGTCACTTTGGAACGTGGGTACCTCTTCGGTAGCGTACGGTACCTAAGGGCACCAACAGACCCATTGGTGCTCAACAGAGTGACCTGGTGGCCGGAAAACCTGTGCGTACGAGCAGGAAGGGATGTAATAAGGGGCGCCGAGCTCCCTTTCCTTCGACTCATCACAAGCAGAGCCGTCAACTTCTGTCCCGCTCCTTTCGTCTGGGGTGAGGTCAGGAATCCCCAGGAGCCAGTTTATGTCCTGAACTTTCCTGAATATGTCCAGTGTCTCGTCTGACGAAGCATCATCGGTGGCATTTGCGGGCCTCCGGGCCTTTCCTACGGAGTACGTGTCCATTTTGTTCCATGACATTGTGAAGCTCCAGTCCGCAGCGGGCAATGAGTTGCCGTCGGTAGTTTTGATTCCCGCCTCTACCTTGACAAACACCCTCTCACCGGGCATGAATGCCACCTTTGGTGTGAAATACACAGTGCGGTTGTCCCTTAGTAACCGCGTGCCGCCGTCGTGGTCGCCGGACACGTCCCCTTGCACGGCTATCTTGTCCTTGATGCTGTCTTTGTCCACCTTCTCCTTCGTTCTGAAAGCAACCGTTGTGTACGGCGAGACGAGGACGGCGTTAGGCAAGGGGTGGCTGTATGTGAATGGGGTCTCCTTCCTCAAAGTCTCCAGGTTCATCGAGGGCTCGGGGATATTCAGGTCCTCTTCGTCTCCGGCCTTCGGCGGTCCCGCTGTGGGGTTGATGCCCATGGCTCTCAGTTGGCTCAGAAGTTGTTCCGTGTTTTGTTGTCGCACTTCATCGTCAGTGATAGCGTTAGTGTTCCCGAAGAGAAGAAGAAGAATACACAACTTGTCTAACAAACGTGGGGCCATTGTAGACAAGAATTACCGATAAGTCGGTTAGGGTCACAAGAGGGGCGCATGTAACAGGTTCGTAAACCTCTAAACCCTGGGGGGGTAGGGTGTTACTCGCTGGAGGGCCTTCCCTCCCTTTTCTAGCGAAGCGTTATCCAACAGAGAGGAGATTTGAGGAGTTCATGCACTGAATTAGTTCACCCTGCAACATGTTGTTGGTTTTGTTTTCCGCACAAGCCGATGTCTCGCATTGTGGTGCATGTCTCGTGCTTGGCTGTGTCTAGATGCGCCTTCTGCGTGTCTGCAAAGTGTGCGTTTGTGTTGTAGATACATAGAAACGTACCTTGACCCCAGGGGACTGAAAGAACCCTTGGGTCAAGGTACGTTTCCATGTATATACAACACTCATGGCTATTCAAAGGGGGAACAGACGATGCGATGATGACGTCTATGGTTCTCCAGAGAGGCGGAGAGGCTCTCGAGAGAAGCACTCCTCACTCCGCGTTGAGGAGGGCCGCAGGCGGCCTGCTGCTCGTCTGACAATGGTTGTCGACTCGTTGCTTCACTGCAAATGCTTCCCAGTGCTCGGAGGAGAGCCACTCATGCTGCTCCGTTGCTTGTTTCCCTCGCTGCTTCTGTCGTGCTCGCTGGGCCCGCTTTGGCGGCCCCGATCTCGATTGTTTGTGGGTGCTCGACGGTGAAATTCGGTTCACAGTGATCAGTGAGGCACGCTGGACATCATGCAGGTGATTGCGATGGCTCACGATGAATGAATGTCACTGGCTTAGAAAATGCGTCAACGGTCACAACGGTTAAATGGGACATTTCCCATATAACGATTTTCCCATATAAGCAGCGTCCCATTTATCCGACCCTGACAGTACCTTCCAGTGTGATTTCCTGTATGACGACACCCACGGTGTACACCTCCTTTCCACCATTCTCCAGGCTCGAACGAATTTATTTAATTTATATTTTATTTTCGTGGTGTCCAGTGGCTGCAGGTCGTATCTGAGGGCGTTTGTTGATGTGCCGAACACATCATAGTATATCCCAAGTCAGGACTGACTCACCCGAAGAATAAGCTGTTGCCATTCTTCGCCAGATGAAACTCGTTACTATTGATGAGTTGTCCGTGCTGCGCAGAGAATGGCTGTCTCCTTGTAATCAGGCCCAACAACACGGATAAGTCGGCCATTCTCGTTGAAGACGAGCTGCCGCTGATGCGTTGGTGAGAAGAGTCTAAACCGATGGTCCACGTGGAAGACGGGATCGCCCTCGGACGTCATGATGAAGTCAGCATGAAAACGTACCCAGTTGCTAATTCGGACATGTCGCCCATTCGAGTGACACGCATCCGAGGGTACCGTAAGCAGAGTTGGGGGCAATAAAGCTGCCCTTATCATCACAACTAAGCGACGCCTCACAGGGCGAGAACGACGACACAGATACCATGTCAGTGTTATCACATACCTCATGTTGTGTGCATGAGTTCCAAGAGAGGAGGTTCTCACCGGTTGGTGGCTTATCAAGGTCACGACTGGGTGTCGTGACCTAACCCGTCGTGACCTAGAGAGCGACCACCCGAAAAAGGCTCCTCGTCCTGATTAGCCCGAAACAGCACGACATGAGCATGCACATGCAGCGTGACATATATGGGTGGATGCATGTTACGTGTGGATGTATGTTACGTGTAGGCATCGCTACTTAAACCATGGTGAGTCGCACGCAGTGCTATGTCCCAGGTGGGCAGGCTACCTACCCAGCGACAGAGTCACTGCCCACGAAAGGTCTGCTAGCTAATCTCACCTTCTGGCTTGATCGCACGCAGCATAGTCAATGGCACAACGCAGCACAAACGTTCAATTTCAAAGTCAAATTAAGCGTTGACGTTGACTTTTCTGTTCGGAAAATGCACGTCTGCGATTTCAAGAAGTGGCGGAGCCATATGACCCCGGGCCAAGCCTTTGCAGCGTGCTGCTTCTCCTTGCACAACATGAACCAGGCATGGTCTGCTTCAACTGCGCAAGCAACGTGACCATCCCAGTGACGCATGTACACGTCGCATCCACACACCCAAAATATTATTCACTTGTGCAGGCCGGTGATGCAACGACCGCTGACCGATTCAGCTTTCTCCCCTTTGCGTCAATTGCCACAGCTTGAAGGTACGTACACTTCTCAATTGCTGAATCAGGGACCTCAACCCAGTGTTCAAACTGTGTCCTTGGCACCTCTTCCAGCACCTCTGTTGGCTTGTCTGTGTCTCCGATCAGTATCCGCCACTTGCTTACTTCAGTAGCCCCGTTCCAGCTGAAGTGCAAGCGAACGATCTTGTCTGGATTGTTGTTGTCCAGGAGAGCTGTGGGCTTCCAAGAGGGAAGCCCGCGCCAGTCTGCCTTTATGGCGCGATATACACAGTGTGATGAGTGAATTGTCAGCAGAGCGTCGCTCTTCCCGTTGATCTGAGCGAGAATTGCCAAAGGAAGCGTCTAATACGATGTTGTCGTCTCGCCTTTTCACATTCTTTGTTACCTCGATGTATGTGGGATTTTGCTCAAGCGCCAAACCTGTGCCGATGACTCGATTGCCATTCGGCAAAAGCCGGTAGCTGCCCCATGCAATTGACTTTACGCCTGTTTCATACTCGTTCACTAACGTTGCCACGGTTGGACGCCCCTGACGGTCAAATTCAAGCTGGTAGTCAACAGCACGGGAGCTGTTGTAAGAGGGGTAGTTGACGGGGACTAAAATAGGTCTCAGACGAGCATTGTCAAACACAGTGATCCGATTGCCACCGGGAGCCCTTATGTCGTGTTGGCCTATGAATCTGCCGTGGGGATCGTCCACAATTTCAAAGTCCCCACTTTCGCCGCCAAGACGCCACTCAATTTTTCCGGTGTCGCTGTATAATCGAAAGCGCATGATGGATCCGATCGGTGTACGTGTGGTGCACACTGACGTACCGGTTGATCTTAATTGCCTGTGAGAGCGCTCGCAGAGAGAGTATGACACCATTGTCATCTGTCTCCTCCAAAGAATTAGCGTCTGAGGGATACACACAATTACAGCCACAGGCATTCACAAACGCAGGCACAACCACATACATGTTCCCAGGCCTACGTCCTAGATCCCAGAGTCTGCCTCCCGAGTGTCTTATGACAATGTACGGGGTCTCCCAGAAGATCCTCGGTGTGTGATCCCAACTTCGCCACTCAAACAAGACGTGACCTATGGAGACAAAGGAGCATATATACCGAGAAAACTTATTTAAATTTCTTATATACACTACTCTCGCGTCCATAAGAAGTATCTCATGCGAATCAGAAGCATACGACGAGACTTAACGCATACAACTACATGCTTCTCTGTTTACCTTGTGATGTGACCTCCTGTATGACGACACCTATGGCCCATACTTTCTTGCCGCCGTTCTCTAAGTTCGAACGAATCTTCGTCGTGTCCAGCGGCTGCACGTCATATCTGAGAGCCAATAAAACACTACGAAAACATCATCATCCCAAGTTAAGACACTACTCACGCGAAGAGTAAGCCGTTGCCATTCTTCGCCACTTGAAACTCGTGCCCATTGATGACCTGTCCGTGCTGCGCTGAGAATGAAGCTGTCTCCCTGTAATCAGGTCCCACAAGACGGATACGCGGGCCTTCCCTTGTGAAAAGCTGCTGCCCCTCAGGCGTTGGTGAGAAGAGTGCGGACCCCTTCTCTGCGTGGAAGACGGGATCGCCCTCTGACGTCATTATAATCTCCATACCTCTCGAATTATCGGTGTCCGTACCACTCGATATGAACACGTACCCAGGTGCAAGCGTGGATATGTCGCCCATCTGAGTCACACGCATTCGAGGGTACCCTTCTGAAAGAGTGCAATAAGCAGGGTTAGGGGCAGCAAACGTATCGACATCATCACAATTGGACGCGTCATTGCATGAGCCATCAGTCCGTGTTTCCTCGTCCCATGTCTCATTCTTCGAAATGCCATCCAGCCAATAAATGTCCTGGATCTTCTTAAGCAACCCGAGAGTGAGGGAGTCCGTATGTTCTTCGTCCACTTGGGGCTGCGCTGCCTTGTATGCGCTGTAAGTGTCCAGCTTCCTCCAAGACATTGTGAAATTCCATGCAGCGGAAGGCAGGGTGCTTCCCTCCGTCGTCTCCATACCAGCCTTAACGCTCACAAGCACCCTTTCTCCAGGAGTGAATGTGTCCACCGGCTTGAAGAGCACAGTGCGTCCATCATCAAGCAGAAGCGTCTCTCCGGTCGAGTGGTCTCCCGACACCTCCCCGTTCACTTCAATCTTGTCATAAATGGTATCCTCCTTCATGCCATCCTGCGACCTGAACCCAATGGTCGTATGGGGCGAGACGAGGACAGCGTTGGGCAGGGGATGTGCATAGACAAAGGGGGTAGCGCTCCACAGAGCTGCCAAATTGGGTGACAGACGTGGGTCTTTGTGGCCCTTTTTGTTGTCCCTTCTGAGGTTTTGTTCTTTTGCTGGGTCTATCCCCATCGCCTTCAGAGCCGGTATCAGCTGCTCGGTGTTGCGTCGAGACACCTCCAGCTCACTTATTGCAGCAACCTGCTCCGTAAGCCTCCATGCGAACAAGATGACCAAAGCGAGAGGAAGACCCCTCACTATCTCTTTGCATGTGTATGCATGTGTACATGTTTGATCCCGGGAAACGGACTTCCATTCATCCAATTCATTCAAACACGCCGGCTCCTTTGGCCGATTGGTACGCCACGGAGTCCCCAAAGCAAACCCAGCAAACCGGCCTGAGCAAAGCCAACCAACGGACGAACCTTTCCTCTGGAGGGTCAATGAGCGAAGCAGAGCAAAGCGAAGCAGAGCAAAGCCCTCTCTGTGCTGAAAACACTGAGCGAAAAGTTGGGGGCCAGCCGAAAGGGTCCCATGACAAAGCCAAGCAAAGCTCGCCAAAGCCAAGCAAAGCTTGGTAACAAATGCACACGACAGCTCAGATCAGTTTCACGGATGTTGCTCTAGGCTGAAAGCTGAGCTGGAGGGTGGTTATACGACCCCAATTTCACAGGCGATAACCCAATTTTGACCCAACTTTTTTTCTAGGGGGTCTTTTCAAGATCTGCTTTGTGATGCTTGTGGAGGGGGTCACTGCGAGGAAGAGTTTGCTTCGAGCTTCAAATCCGTGCACGCGTTCGCGCGAAAAACGGCCGCAAAAAACCCGGAAAATAGGCTTTTTGATGTTTTCTCTCCGGTTTCTGCTGCGTTCGACGCGCAACCCTGTGTGTGAGTGCTGCTCCATCAGCTCTGTCCTCACGCATGCGGTCATCGCTCTGTGTTCTGTGAAAAACGAGAACCACTCACCGAAAGTTCATGCTGCCGTCAACCCAAATCACCACGACTGTGTCAATGCATGGTACATTCCGCTACGCTGTGTTCACACGCAAGCGCTAATGGCTTTTCGTTCCGTCAAAAAGAAGAACCGGTCACTGAAAGTTTACACAGCCATCAACCCAAGCCAAACACAATCTATCGTCCACGGCACACTGCTCTACGTTCTGTTCGTACGCAAGCGGCCGTCGCTCTTCGGCCCCGCAAACGAGACCATAGCCGCTGAAAACTTGCGCATCGCTAACAATCGCTGACTAGTTGCAACGCAATCTCCATGCACACGCTTTAAGATCTGGTTGATCAAATATATGCGCACGGACACTGCGAGAAACGAGTTTGCTTCCAATTGCAATTGCGCCCACTCCTTGGCGCAACAAAAAGTGCCGAAAACCACCGAAAAGTGATGTTGGTTACACGGAATTCGGGGTGTTCTGCTGATTTCTCTCGGGATTGTGATGCATTCGATGCGAAAGCATGTATGTCTGATACATCTTGTCATGTTGTGTCTGCACGCCAGAGGCCATCGCCCTGGACCGTCTTGAGAAGGAGAACCAGCACGATTGTGTCAATGCATGATACATCTCGCTATGCTGTATTCACACGCGAGCGGGCTCGCTCTCCTCTCCGAGTTTACGCAGCCGTCAAGCTATAATCTGGATACACCTCTCCCAGCTCGATCCACACGCATGTGGCCGTCGCTCTCTTCGCCTCCCAACCAATAAAGGTTTACACATCCCAACTAACCCCAACCACCAAACGGTGTGCATCGTGGGTTGTCAAACGTGTGGATCCCGTCAGGCACGATTTCGCACCCCGCTCTGTTCTTTTGCAGCCACGCATGTGCTTCATCTTGCCCTCCGTTGAGCGCTACCCCCGGCCAGGCCCGTGTAAAAGCCGAAAGTTGCACAGTGTTCTGTGCCTGAGAGCTTTCCTTTGTGTGTCGTTGTCAAGTGCCAAGTCTCTTCTATACAATAACCACGATTTCAGTTGTGTCAGTAGACCACATGGTGTGACTAACTAAAGAGTACTAAAGAGTCGTCTGAAACACTCTGAGACACGGCTTGTTGCGATGATTGGGGTTCGCCAGAGAGGGAAAAAGATGCCCTGCTCACTCGTGTAAAGGCCTACGTGCTAAACAAAGACCCAACAAGGAGAGAAAGTAGAGGTTTGACGGAAAGCCGACACTGTGATGATCCAAGATGGAGGGCCCTTCCCAGGCCTGGCACTGCCCCAGCTTCGAAATCCGTTCCCGAATTTAAGAGGAGCGAGATGTCTCCTTTCCGTGCATCAAACTTATCCGAGCTCTAATTACAGCATCCATATACCCTTTTTTTACATTCTCTGCTCCGTTTATGTCATTTCATCCGTTGCGAGCACGATCTCTTGTCTGATCATCCGTGAAGAAGTGATGACACCCCGTGGAAGCCTCCTCCCCTGATCGCACATTTTTAAAACGTCCCAAATGTGCCAAAAAATATTTTGAAACCGGCAAACCGCCGAAAAATATTTAAAAACAACGCAAACAAATGAAAAACTGAGGAGAGACTTTGAAGAAATCCGATAAACAAGTAACGCATTTTAAAAGCCGCAAAAAAGGACGATTTAAAACTTTTGGGTTGCAACACGTTGAATCACAGCTTCCTTGCCATGTTCTTCTGTCGCAAACCGATGTCCTTCACACATCAAACTAGATAACACTCGTTTGTATTATCCACACAGTCCATTTGCCTTCACGCTTACACACATACACGCACGCGCACATAAGACAGACATAAGATTACACACAACACATAGAGACATGCATACATAATTCATACAGACAAATAGCCAGACAGTGTCGGCAGATGCACCACATGCATTCACAGAGACAGACAGTCGGAGCTTGTACGTACACGAACCAATCAATTAATCAACCAGTAAATCAATCATTCAACCAATCAATCAACTGACTAGATAGGACAGGGTGGATTTGTCTCGGTCGGTCGGCATACCGAGTAAGCAGAGCATCTCTCTCGCTTCACTTACAAATCCCAATCATCGCGTACAAGTCTCAGACGGCTCCTCAGTCAGTCACTTCGTATTCAGCGCTTGCCGGCGCAAACCAGTACCAATCGGAACAAGAAGGGCAATGGACGGCAATGCATTGTCTGTACATTGACAAAAGAGCCCTGTTTTCTGACACACCGTCGAACCATGACGTCTCACGACCGACTTTCGGTGCCACGTCTATGTCCCAGCTCTCCATCGCCGCAACAGTGCAACGCAACTCAAACTTATGCATGCAGGTAGCCAGTAACGCATGTATGTACTGTCATTCTTCCACGAACAAGGAAAGAGAAATGTACTAAAGTGGGGAAGAAAAAGGACTAGAGCTGTCGTGTGCATCCCCCGCCCACCTACCGCCGGGGTTTCGAATTTATCTGGCCCCACGGGGCCCCAGACAAGCAAAGCAAAGCAAAGCGAAAGACGAGGGAGAGGAGACAAGCAAAGCAAAGCAAAGCGAAAGGTGAAGGACACGGAGGGAGAGGAGACAAGCAAAGCAAAGCAAAGCCAAAAGCCAAAGGTGACGAGGGAGAGGAGACAAGCAAAGCAAAGCAAAGCAAAGCAAGGCAAAGCAAAGAAAGGCCGAACAGTCACACCTGGCAGCCACTAGCAGCTGGTAAGAAAAAGACGGCAGGCAGCCACACGCAAGGAGGCAATGAGGTATGCAGATCAGGCATTCCGGCATACGGGCGTACAACAGAGGTGGTGTCATGGGGTTGGATCGTGATGTGTGAGCGACGTACAAAGAAGACAATCAACAAACGAGGACCCATCGTCACACGAATGGTTCGCGAGCGTATGTAAGGGGTCGTGTGGGCGAGAGGGATTGATCGATCGTCAAATACAAACCAATCCGACCGACACACGATAAGAGACATTGCATTCGACGCATGTCTACTTCCAGCCCAGCTCATTACTGAATATGAGGATGACCAATCGCATCGCATCATATACGCAACCATTCACCACACCTTCACAAGGGAGGTCTGAGTCTCAGCTGACAAGAGAGACGCGAAGTGCTGGTGGGATGCCATGAAGCCATACGTAACATACAGAGACATTCCATCCGTCAAGAAGGAAAAATCACTGCCTTCTCTCTATCGCGTAACACGCCGTCGACCAGGCACGAAACGACAAGTCAATGACACACTCTCTCATTGCTTTCGTTCGGCCGTCCAAGACACACGAAGCGAGCATGGCCGCACGTGCACCATGTCTCCTTTTGTGTCGCTCTGCTTCATCGCATACGGAAGCTCACAAGAACATCCTCAACGGAGTGTTCTCTTGCAGCCCGTTCAGCAGATCGCCCTCAGCGAGGCGACTCGGCTCCTCACGGGCGTATAACTCGCTGTTACGAAGCCACAGGCGGCGTCCCATCAGGCCGTACATGCCATTTACCCTGAGGAACCCGTAATCAACCGCGACTCTGGCGAGCACATCCCGGATCCGTGAGGTCCGCCTCCCGCTCTGATGGCCTCCGATTACCTCAGGCGCATTCAGCACTGACACAGGCGCAGCCAGTCAATGTCATACCTGAGCTCCTTGCAGCCGCTCCTGACGCCCAAAATTCGTTATCACCTGAAACGGACTTTTTCTCAGATGAAAACAGACTTCAGCGTGCGCTCCTGTGATCGCTCTGCTCCTCTTTAGAGGTCTCACACATCAGCACTACAAGCGCTGCATAGCCAGAAAACTGACCCAGGGGGGTGGGAAACCGTGTTCTGTGCGGAAAACCGGGGCCCCATGCGGAAAACTGATGTCGGCCCGGTTGCTTGGGGGTTAGAGGACGCCATGAAATAGCGCTTACTCGATGCTGATTGACCTGTCGATGAGAGACAATCAAAATTGAGTGACGACAAGCACACGAATCAAGCCGACCTGGTGTCACGTACACCGCAGGCACCTAGTCAACGGAGGTAGGGGTCGATGGCACACTGCCACACACGCACGAATCCAAAAACACGCAAATGTACACGTCTCAAAGCGAGGAAATGTCAGTTGTATCCCTTTACCCGTTCTTCCCCGTCTTTGTTCACTACGCGTGGAGGCGCCAATCAGCAGAGGAGGCACGAGACACAAGGGGCTGGTGTGATAGAACCGTCGACCAACAAGCCCGCCGAGCGATGTGTTGATGACCTCACGGCCAAGAGACCTCGCCGGGGGGGGGGGGGGG